TTATTTTAAGGGGAAATACTTTTCCACCTAGAATTCTAAGAAGCCAACTAATTAATTAAGTATAAAGGAATAATTAAGATACTTAAGAAAGTTAGGGAGTTATAATTTTTTCCCATGCACTCTATTATGGAAGTTCTTGAAGTGGCTCTCAATGGCATGAACATATGCCAAGAAAATCCAATAACCATCAAACAATGGATTCAACATAGAAATAGAAACCTGGCATCTTTATAGTAGACTTGGACAGAAAACCACATTGAAGCACTCGGATTGGGCATCTGAAGACTGAAATCTCTAGCGAAAAGGTAGGAGACGACAGCAGAGTAACTTGTATAAGCACATTTTGAAAAAAAAAAATATTAAGGTTATATCAATTTCAAAATATGCAATCAAAACATTTTCTTCCTAATTTTCTGGAAACTACTCAAAGTAACTAATTTGTTATACATGTTTAAGCTACTTGTTATTTTTTTAAAGATTTTTTAATTTGTTTATGCATAGCAAAACTGGAACCAGAGGTGAGGGAGCTGGGTGGAAGGGTGAGAGGATTCACCAGACACAGAGTGGGGAGCAGAACAGGCAAATGGACTTAAATACACTACTAGGGGGATCAGCAGGTGAGACAGGCAGAAGTCTGCTGAGCCATATATGAGTTAGCTCCTTGACAGGGAGCTAACTCAGACTACAGTGGTGATAGCATGATAGTGTGGTGGTGTGAGTTTAGATTATTTGAGTTATAGCTTGCTTCTTGATATAGCAAGAAACTTCCCTCTTACTAGAGCATTTGCTCTGTCCCACAGGTTTTGATAGTTCATGTCTTCATTTTTGTAATTCTCTAGATGTATATTTTCAAAATATCTCTTTTGATTTCTTAATTAACATTATAGTTATGCAGTGCAAAGTTTTCTACATGGATCTGAGTTTCTTGTCATGTTGTTTGTGGTTGATTTCTAGTTGATACCATGGTGATAAGATGTGAGGCTTGATATTTTTTCATCTTCATGAATTTACTAACAATTTAGTGACCCAACATGAGCTCTAATTTCTAGAATGTTCCATGAGCATTTGAGAAGACTTATGAAATATTATATATATATTTATATGTAATATATATGGAACTACAAAATAACTCAAATAGGCAAAGCGATTCTGCAAAAATGAACAGAGGCATTATATCCCCAGAATTCAAATTAACTACAAAGTAATAGTAATCAAAGGAGTATGGTATTATTGAGAGTCCAAAAATAGACCCACAAATATATGGGCAGTTAACTTATAACAAATGAGTCAAGAATATACAATAGTGAAAAGAAAGTCTATTCAACAAATGGCCTTGGGAAACAGAGTGCCACATTCAAAAGCATGACAATACACTATTGCACTACCTCACACAAGATACAAAATTTAATTCAAAATTGATCAAACACTTGGATGTATGATCCCTAGCCATAAAATGAATATAACTTACATAATCAAAACATTCTGGGACATTGGTTTCAGTGATGTCTTTGGGGACACAAATACAAAAATAAGCAAATGGGACAACATCAAAATAGAAAGCTTCTGACAAGTGAAACAAACTATCATTAAAATGAAAAGATACCCTACTATATGGGGAAAAAAACTTGTATCTACAAGGGACCGATATGCAAGATCTAAAAAGAACCCATAGAACTCAATAACAAAAAGAAACTAAAACACAAGCAAAAAAAAAAAAAAAAATGGGCAGAATAACTAAACAGGCACTTCTCCAAAGAAGAATTACAAGTGGCCAACAAGTGCATGGAATAATGTTCATCATTTTTAATAAAATGGTTTTCTTTATCTATATACATATATATATGTGTATATATATATATATATATATATATATATATATATATATATACACTAAACATTTTCTTAAATAAACTTCCGGAACACATAAGATACTGTAGAGATGTCTATTTGTTAGGTAAGTATAACTGCAATTATAAAAGTAAAATTCAACATCTTTAATGTCACATTATCTTAGGATTTAATAGTATCTAAGCATGTAAAAATGAAATCACAAACCATCATTGAGCAAATGATTTTGTTTCACACTAAAATGATTACAAATATATGTTAAAACCTAATTTGTGGAAGAGAAAATAAACTTTTCTGAATTATTCTATCAAACATAAATAGTGTATTCTGATGGGTTTTGAATATGCATACTAAGAATATATGTTTCTCAGTGCATATTGACTGTTTTCTAATACTCTATAAAAATCATTGATTGTGAGTTTTTCCTTGGACTTTTTTCAAGATGTTACTATTTCCTTATTATCTATAAATGGAGTATTCAATTAAATATTATTTTAACAAAATAATATTTGTTTATCTTTATCTTTGTTTATCTTTAGTTTTTATAAACTGGAAAAATACTAACTTTGTTTTTACTGGAGAAAATTAAGCATTAAGAAAGTAGGGTCAGGGCCTCCCCGGTGGCACAGCGGTTGAGCGCTGGGTTGCGAAGCTGCCCGCAGCCTCTGCAGTGCAGGTTCGATCCCCAGCTGCTCCCGGGCACCGGAGGAGGGTCCCACATGGTGCGCAGACCTCTCCTGCCGCCCGCTGCTCCCCTCAGCAGTGTACTTCGGTCCTTCTGCCTGCTCTGCTCCCTGCTCTGGCTCTGGTGAATTCTCTCACCCTCCCGCGCTTATGACTGTACCCAGAACTTGTATAAATAAGTAAATAAATAAAAAAAATAAATCTTAAGAAAGTAGGGTCAGTAGCTGATGTTGCCCAATGCATTTACACATCATTGGACTTTATATAATAAGATCTTTTCTTTTTCAATACACTGGTGCAATGCTGCGGAAACAAGCTATCAGTAGAAACAAGAAAAATATTTCGTTAAATTAATGTTATTCAGATTCTTAGATTATGTTGCCATCCAATTTTGTAGAGTGAAAATTTAGGTGAAACTTTACTAACAAAAGTTCACTAAGATCAAATTTCCCTTTCCTGTTTGATCAAGTTCATTCCTAAAACAGTCGGAGAAGAGAAACGTTTTTAATAAACACATTGTAAGCTGATATCTACAAAACTTTCAATTCAAGTTGCTGAAATTGTATGATTTCATTATAAACTCACTATAGAAGAATGATTCAAGAAATAGTTATTTATTCAAAGGTACAAATTACCCAAAAAGTAATAACAAACTAAAGTTTCAACTGCAAATATGTAAAAGTTCTAGTACACATTGTGATGAACAGTCCTAATAAGCAGACTATAAGACAATACATTAAATCTCCCTAGCACTCCTCTTATATTCTGAATTCCATTCTTTTCTCCTTACCTGGATCAAATGCCTCTCAAATCTACCAGAGCCAAATTCCTCCTTTAAGTCCCAGTTAAATTCTACTGACTTGTCTGAATAAGCCAGTCCAACGAATGCTCAGTCCGTCTTCAAGCATTTTTGATACATATTGATTTTATTACTTAGGGTTTTTATATTTTATGACTTAGTTTATTTTGACATCTCCAGTTAGGGTTCATATTCCTGGAAGACAGGTTCTCTCTGTCCATCGCTAAAAAGGTCACTATTTCCCCACACATTACCACAGAACCATGTACATTATTAACTAGAAAGTTATATAGATAATAAACACTTTATTTTTCTTCAAAGAACATAATCTAATTGTATTTCAAAAGATAAACTTTGTATTTGTTGATCAACATGACATATTTGTTAAGGACTGTTTTTAGGATCCTGGGACCAAACTGCAGTGTGAGTATGTGTATTTGCAGATTCCCCAAACCAACAAACAATTTTAAAACATTGCCTCCCCAGAGATAGCATGTGATTACACATGTTAAGGGCTCAATGTCCCAAGACCTCCCCTACTTCAGATTACAGTCACAGCCCAAGCTGTTACCTGTAATTTTAACAAACTGGCTACAAACTGGTTACAAGCTCCTCCAACACCCTCCTCTGACTAGGGGCCAGCCACAAGTTCAGGTTGTTAGCTGTACATTTGACCTGCAGGCTATAAATCAACAGTTCCCATGATTCCCTCCTCAGGTTCTCCTAATTTGCTAGGGCAGCTCACAAAACTGAGCTTTTACTTATGGAGTCACCTATTTATTATAAAGGATATTATTCAGGACATTTCTCACATAGTTGGTTCTCTCAACCCTTTCTTAATTTTCCCCAAAGGTTACCTCATTAATGTAACAAAAGACAACTTTACTCCCAATACATAGGAAAGTTCAAAGTTTTTGGATCAGTGAGCCAGAAACTATGAATAATGTTCATATACTCCTCATATATATTTGATTATCTGAATGACCAGATGAATATTTTTTTCTTTTACATCACAATATCATGGGGAACGAGGAGGATCAAGTAAGTCTGAAGATATTTTTTTCACTTTTAAAGAAAAAAGGAAGCTAGGAGAAGTAGCAATAAACATCCCTTTTATTCTTATTCCAGCATTGAATGTGTATATGATGAGCTTTTAAAACTGAGAAAGTATGAACAAAACAATTTTGTATATATAATCATGGCATCTTTTTCTGCCAGATAGAGTGTGGGCAGACAATTTTAGAACATTTTGGACAGGTGTTATGCCCTCTCTGTAAGAACAAACAAACAAAAAAAATGAATTGAACCTAATGGAGCCCCACCAACATCCTTTACTTAAAGGCATGAGGATAGAAGGTATGTCTATGTCAAATCAAAAGGAATAAAAGTAAATCTAAAGATAGATTTATTCAGCAAGGGCAGAAGTAGAGTAAAAAACAAGAGGCTATACTCTTTAAAGAATCTAAACTTGTAATTTCCTCTGGTTTATAATTTGCAGAAACAGCTATAAAAATACATTGCTATAGCTAGGTCTTACTGGTGACTACCAGGCCCCCATAAACATTAGAGACACTTACATGCCCAAGCAAGAAAGCCATTCCAAACAATGAGAAAACCTAGGAGAGAAGGCACTTTTTGTTCAATTTACATTGAGCTTCAGCCACCTTACCTTTCTCTTCAAGCTACTGGACATATGAAGCAGGTACACAAACTATACATAATCTAACACTTCTCTCCATTTGTCTGAATCTGAAAGATATAAATATAAGTAATTTCAAATATGAATATCGGGAAATCAAAATAAGTTATAAGAAACTAAAATTCAAGGAAAAAAGTCACTCTGAAAGACAATTATAAGCAGTGCTATAATAAGAAATGACTTAAAAAAAAAGTCTTGTTTTAGTTCTCAATACAATTCAAAAAAATTTTGCAAGACTAATGAATTTCTCATTAGGAAATAGAAAAGGACAGATTATAACTATGTAACTGTTTAAATAAAAACCACAAAGGGGATGAGATCATTAGAGTGGACATTAGGTAAAATGAAATAAAAAAAATAACAATCTTGTGAAATTATCTCAGAAGTCAGAGGAGAAAAATAGAATACTAATTAAGATGACCCAATCCAGAAGGAGGGAACAAAGATGAAATGTTACACAGTGGTAGGTTAATAATAACTTTTAAAAATTTCCTATGTTAAATATTGGAATTTGCATACAGGAAGAGTTCACAGAGGATCATGTAGTATTAATGAAAAGACACTAGAATTTAAAATACCTTTATGGGGGTATATACTTTTAGAGTTATTAAAAATCCATCTGAGTTTCCAGTAAATAAGTAAATTGCACCCTTCAAAAAAGAAAAATATCTAGTTTACTTCAGATTCTCTTCCAATAAGAATGTTAAAAGAAAATAAGTTATATGACAAGATTTTTGACACAAGCAATTTGATTTTTATAGAAAAAGGAAATTTTTTAATTTTATTTTTCTAAGATAAACAGTGCCTTGCAAAATATGCAGTCCATGTATGTTTCTTAGGGAAAAAAGCAGGTACTTAAAGGCATACTAGAAATCACTGAGATATGAATTAAAGCATACAATTCTAGACTAGGACTTTGTTTACTAAAAGAACCCATAATATTCAATGTATTGAATAATTGGCAGAAAGAAAACACTATAATTACTTTAATCTGATAATAAAATTTCATTCAAATATTCAAAATAACTATTGTATAAATTTTTAAATTGGAAATTATATTAACATTGATTGATGATACCAAGTTGTAATCTCTGTTTATAGAAGCAAAGTCACAAGAGAGAATAAAAGAGCACAAAACTACTGCACCTATAGCAAACACTAAACATACAGGCTGAACATACAATGCTTAAGTCAAGATACTGTTTATAAAATCAAGCTATTGAAAGATACTACAAATGTGAAAATTCTCAAAATAAATTCAGGGGAAAAGTCAACTTTAAATGACAGAAACATAATTACTAAATACATACACACACTTGTATGCAAACAAACATGATTACTTACAAAATGTCAACAGTAATTCATTTTGAGTGGTTGGATTACTAGTTTTCATTATTTTCTTTTTTATACATTAGCATATTTTATATTTTTCAAAGTAAAGTTTAGATGTTTTAATAATAAACAAGTTTTATAGAAATATACATGCAATTAATCTACTTTATTGCATATGATGAATTATTGTTTTTGTCTTTAATGGACAGATAATAGATTCCGACTTTCACCTAATCTGTACAATTTTTCTATGAATGTCGTTGTAACAGGTTCTATCAGCTGGGTTCAAGTGTTTACTTGTCTGGTATAGACCAGTTATCAGACACTGAAATGCAAAAAATAATGTATTAGTGAATATGGTAGTGGGCTTTAATTGCATTTTCTTGTTTGGTTGGTTTAGTTAAAAGAGCAAATTATTAAGCATAAGAAGTACATTTAAAAAGCCCAAAGAAATGGAAACACAGTGCCTGCTCCTGTAGGAGAAAGTGGCACAGGTAGGATGTTATGCTTGGTTTGAGGTTGGTTAGATTCAACATAAGCAGCACTACCTACAGGGCCAGGGGGGAAAAAAGAAATCATAGAATTAAAGAAGACAAACTATACCTTGGCTAATTCTTCCACTACTTCTGAAACAGCTTTGGCACTAGATGGAAGTTTTGAGACCACAGGTAAAGTGCAAAACAACAGTGACAAAGGAAGCTGTGTGCAGAAAATTTCCATGGGATGAAGAAACAGTATAAGCAGTTTCTTATATACAAATCTGAATAGAAGAAAACTGGAAAAATTAACAAGCAGATAGGATCATAAAATGTCCTCTAAGAATCTGAATGGTTCCCCATTACCTTTTCAATACATTAGAACAATTATGCTGGCAGTGGTCAATGTCTCTTACCTATTATGGTATCGGCTTTCCTCATTAACATTACTCATTTCTAATTTAACTCACACTTTCTCCAATATATCTTTACTTGACTCAGTGAAAATTGTTTACCTTTATTACATCCATGTCTATCTTAGTTTACATCATTAATCTTTTTTTTTCTTTTATTGAGGTAACATTGATTCACAGGTACAGGCTCACAAATATTCAGATTTATGTCACCTTACAGTATCTGCAACAAAGGCATCCATCTGTCACTCAGTTCTAACTAACATCACATCATCAGAGAGAAAATGTCCCCAAATCTGTTCATGAAATAAACACTCCCAGTGACAAACTTATTTGTTGCAGTATGATAGAACCTTAAACAGTAACAAAATTTACCAGTATTTTAATAAAATACAGAGAGGTAGGAAGAGAAATATAAGGTAGGCTATAATAAGGGAGGAGGTAATTAAGATAGAGATATAGGAAGGAAATTGGTGGAGTACTGCAAGAAAAGAAACACCAAAACAGAAAATCCAGTGACCATTGTTACCATTGTCTACTAATGAAAGCCAGGTACTTATATGTCAGAGATTTGACACAGGAGAATTAATAACTACATAAGAATAATTTGAATAGATTTATATAAGAATTATGGCTAAAGATATAAGAATATCACTGTACTTCCAAAATTAAAAAAAAAATATTTTTAAGCTTCAGAAATGGTATAAAGAATTCAGAAATTATATAAAAATACAATATTTTATACATTGGGAAAACATGGTATTAAACATTAATAAACTTTCATGTTCAAGCTAGCTGCTTGACAAACACTGTCATCATTTTGTAATGTAATTAAATAATTTGCTCGGAGCTATAAATGAAATAGGTCTTAGCCACCAAACAGATGTACTACTCAGGAGGTTATTTGCTAACACTCTTCAGTCATGGCGCTTTCCTAAAAACAAACAAATAAAACTACTGCATGCCACTTCAAGATTCTTAGTAATCCATAAAGTCAAGTATTGCCACTTTGTCATTATATCCTTAAAAAGCAAAATCTGCATTTACAGGAAGATACAATATCTGTGCATAATAAATGCACTAAATTCACTAGATTTATATTTTTATTTTGGTCCAAATAGCTTATATTTCCTCTATAATATGTAAACCTTAAGAAAACCTTTTTATTTCCTTCAAAAGCAAGTAAGTGCTAAATTAAATTATTACTTTGAATTTAACTTGACATATTGGCCAGTGGTCTAGTGTGATTTTTGTTCAGCTATTGTAAACTTATTAAGAAATACATCCATAATACATAGTTATTACAGATATGCTGCCTACTTCATATCTGCTACCCCAGTTACACGTGTCATGGAAAATTCAGTCTGAGCATTTAGATATTTCATCTTGATTAATGCTAAGAGTAACTAGGTAGAAGTGGCCTGCACGTGGGGCATAGTCTCATAGTATCGATTAAACTATAGTGAAATGTTGTCTTAAAAATGCAGCTGGTTCCTGTATCAATAGAAACGTGAGAAAAATCTATGGGTAATGGAGGAGATAGGAAATATTTGAAGGATGCCAAAATAACATAAAGGCAATTTATCTGTGGTCAAATAGAAAAAAAAATATATTGATTATCTGAACACCTTATATTCTATATCAAAAATAATCTTTTAGGAACACTTAAAATGACCACTCAGCAGCATATTAGACTACCATGCTGTACAATCGAAATTACAGAAATATAAAAAAAAATCTATAAAAGAAGATAGTTTTGAGTAATTATAGACATCTTTAACATCTGATAATCTGGTATGCCACCTTTTCTTTTTATGCGCTAACATTGAAACACTATTAAAATAAGGAAATTTTAGTCATTTTTTTAATTTGATTGACTCATTTTATATTTTTTTGTTCCACTGGTATTAAAAAAAATTGTGAAGTTTCTTGGAAAGAATAGACACATTGTAATTTATAAAAGGAAATTTTCTTTTTCCATGAACAATCACATCCCATTGTTCATACCATTTATAATCATGTGTGGTTATGTACAAAAATCTTGAAAAATAATGCTTTTTCTTGTGTTATTTAAAGCTTCCAATTTGCCCAGGCTTATTAAAATCAAGACTGAATCATTCTAGGTAGCAAAGTCTTACAGTTTTAATTGCTTTGTCACAGGCCTAAGAATAAATTAAAATGTAAAACTTCAACTAAGGAGACATTTAAATGATCAAACTAAAGCGTTAATGCAGGATAAACCTAATCTTAGCAGTACAGGAATGAGGCTTTACTAGCAAGTCTCTTTCAAGAATCAATAAGTGTTAGTGAACAATATTAAGTGATGTGCTTAACAGTCCAACCATTAATACACTTAACCTGCTTTCCTCAAGAGAAGACTTGGCCACCCTGGGTAGCAACAGCCTAATGTATTTAAATGTAAATTAAACAACTCTTTGCAAGAGATTTTTTTAACTACATAATCCATTAGTATCCTACCTGATTTTTCAAAATTGGAATAAATCATTTTTTCTGTATATCGTACAATTTCAATATGAAAATATAAATAAAATAAAATTTGAATAGGCCATCCAGACTTTAGCAATCTCTTCATAAAAATATCCTTTGCAAAAAGAACCCTTAATAATAATTAGGTATTTTCATACTTTTAACAGTTCGCTTCATAGTATAGACAGAGCTAAATATAATTCTTCTCTGTGACTTTCATTTCATTTGAAAACAGAGATACACTGTTGAGTCAAGGAGATCTAAATGACTCGAATGTGCTATATACTTAAAAATGTTGTAAAGAAATCTTGTAGTTTCTTATATTCATTAGATACCCGAAAT